ACTTTGATGTCAGATAGCGTCCGAACGGCTCGCGCTAGGGTCACCAAACTTGGTGACTTTTCCTAAAATATTGTTAGCAACAATTTTATATTAGTGGAATAAGATCATGATTTAGGGGGTTGCCATGGCAACGGGTTTCTGACGGGCATTGTTTGCTAAATTTAATAATTTTCGTTTCTAATACAATCTTATGGGTTTTATGTCAAGTTACACATGGTTTCTAATATTAACAATATCTCATGTAATTGTATGTACATTTTATCATTAAAAATGCATAATTTATGCTAATTTGATGACCTCGTTGACCAAAATCCAAGATGGTGGACCACGTCATCAGATCAGCTATAAACAGGTTATTCTCCTTAAAATGTCATAAATATTTCCACTTCTTTTTACAAAAAAAGGTTCATATGAACGTCTTTAATCTATTTTCAATGTATTTTAGCCTTTATCTTGAAAAAAAATTATTTTTCAAAATTCAAGATTGATGATCCAAGATGGCTTACATGGCTCCTCATGCTTAGATATGCATGAGGTCATTTTATGACGTCACTGGTGTTGCTATGGGCAACATAAGTCTTAGTACACCCTACTATTCTATTATAATCACCTTTTGCTAAAGTTATGTAGTATACCATTGAGTTTTTAGGGAATACCATATCTATACGGTTTTGGCCAATAAAATCACAATAATGACGTTATATTACGTCCCCTCCAACCACGTAGTGTACACGATGAAGGACCTGTACGAGGCAATCCTGCAGAATAACGAGAGACTCGCACTGAGGATTCTTAGCGAACACGCGGAGTATGCAACCATGGCCTGCGAAGACCCAGATCACTACGGTATTGATAACCTGCTCTATTTGCATTTTGATGTGTTACCGATTGTACAGTGTGTGGTATAGAGGTGAGACGCTCTACCTTTGGACCAAGACGTTTGGTGTTCGAATCCCGACCGTTATTGTTGTAGGGCCCGAGATGTACGATACTCAGTACGGTAGCTATAGATACGTTGAGAAGAGGAGATGCAAAGTAACACATCATAATGAGACCATTCTATCAACTTTTTCAGGAGAGTCACCGCTGCACCTGGCCATTTTTAACGGAAACCTGACGCTGGTCAAGAAGCTGGTGAGCCGAGGGGCGGACCCGAACGCGCGGTGCACCGGGACAAGATTCTCACATGCCAAGGGTACGGAGGAGGACGTTCTGTGTTACTACGGTGAGCTGAGGACTTTTGCAGCATACCATTCTAAAACATCATTTATAACACTGCGAAATAGAATGCTTCTGTATTCCACAGCGTGATCCATCCCAAAACATATTTTAGAATAGTGACATCGAGTGAAACGCTTGCTGTATTCTAAAACGTGATCTACTAGTATTCCATTTTTTTTTCAGTTGCACGTGGTCAGAACGTGCTATGCCTGCGCAAAACCCGGATGATAAGACGGGACGCCATCCTTATTTACGCGAATACAACTTTAAATGGGACGCTCTGCCGAAGTGCTATGAACAACAGATAATGGGTTTGGCTCAGGCGCAGACACAGTGCGTTCTTCTGACGTGCTTCTTTCAGTGCTGTTTTTGTACATAAAACATGGATAGGGTTAACTAACTTATTAATATAACTAGGTTAGCTACATATTCTGAATTGTCATGAAGATGTTAAGAAATTATACCACGAGATGCAACGTAACGCAACTTTGTCTTTGAAAAATATACGAGAAGTGTTACTGATAGTTAGCTTTATGTTCCTACACTTGCAGGAGAGTACGCCCTTTCACTTGCAGCCTGTCTGGGTATGGAGAAAATTGTCGAGTATTTGGTGAAAAAAGGCGCTCGGCTGGACAACAAGGACACAGAAGGTGCTCTCTTTAGCTCTATTTATTCAAGAATCGTGGCCTGGCTATATTAAGACCAGGCACGGTTTTGGCTAGTCTCTTACATTTGTCCCAGGCGCTGACTATCCAAAACCGTGAGCATGGTTCTCTCTCTCTTTGTGTGTGTGTGTGTAAAGAATATACAGTACGTAGTTTTGATTTTGGTTGTTATAACATCCATTTAGGAAACACAGTTCTGCACGTGCTGGCCAGCATGGAACAGACTGACGCGTCTATGGCCATGGTCAAACTGGTGTTGAAACTCAGCCAGGTACGAAGGCCCATGTGGACATTTTCTTTCTGAGATCGAAAAAAAAACATCTGACATAAAAACACTAAAGGCAAAGTACAACAATAAAGATCTCAGCCTGGTATATAGCTTTTACAAGTTTGCGTTATTTTCTAAGTGTAAAGATACCTACAAATTTCTAGTCTTAGAAACCTACAAATTTATCTACTGAGGATGACTTTACCCAGGGGACGGAGAGTCTGGAGACGATCGAGAACAAAGAAGACCTCACTCCGGTTAAGCTGGCAGCAACTAGCGGTAATCTGGAGGTAGGAACATCCACAATGACCTTGTTTCTCGTTCTGTAATTCGTATCTCTGCGTTTAGATATATACAGTATATATCTCTTACTTCACGTACGATGTTCAACGATGCAAGATTCATCCAATCAAATTGGCAGAGGCTAACGGTAAAATAGAGTTAGACAACCAGAGTGTTGTCCTATATCGTCGCAAAAAGGGTAAAGAGGTGAAGTCTGCCATAGCTGACTGCTTTGTTGATGTTTCATTTTCCGAACGAAATCTGGCCCTTGCCACACAGCTCACACAGTCACACAGACTTTTAGATGTTCCTGTTTCACCTAGACCAGAGCTACAAACACCACGTGCTATGGACGTACAGCCCTAAGTTTCCGAGCGTTTGTATAACCATGTGTGTTCTGTTCACCTGCTATGCAGATGTTCCAGTTCCTCATAGACCACAGCCATAGGCACTGCGTCTTGTGGAGGTACGGCCATGTCTTCGAGTGTTTGTACGGCCTGTCTGATATTGACATACCTCCTACCGATGATGCAACTTTGACAGTCAAGCGTGGATACAGTCTACTGGAGGTTGCGATCTACAGTGACATACACAGGTTCTACACTAACATCAAGGTAAATGCAATCTTAGACGTACTTGTATCACAAGCAACATCCCAACAGACCCTTCAAAAGAGGAGGATAGGCCTTTGGCGTGGGACCACTATTTTTTTCTCCCCATCCTCAGCTGGTGGCTGGCAAGAAATAGCTCCAGTCATTATTGATCAGAGGATAGTAATTTTCCATCAATTATGCAAATAAGTCATTATGTAAATGAAGACTATCTGCAAACGTTCCCGTCGTTCTCATCTATATGTCAGTGTGTTTCATAGCCCTATTATCGAAAACAGATTTATACAAATGCCTCATTAATCATGCAAATTAAATCCTAATTTGCATAATTGTAATATTGTTATATCAAGCAGCACTTAAACTACCTACATTCAAATGACGATCCGTCAACCGGTTCTCAAACCGTCCTACAGTTGATAAACATCACGTGACTTCTTTCCGAGCAAAAGAGTTTCCATCTAACCATCTAAATTTGATGACCCTAGCATCTCCAGATGGCGAGATATAAAACCGGAAGTTGCGCTGCAGTATCAAGGGAAGACACTAGGGGGCCCAAAATCTAATAATTACTAGTTATCGTCACACCCTACCAACACACCAAGTATATATGAAATCAATCAATCCAGCCAGCCAGCCAGCCGTTTTCGCTATGCACACAAACTCCGGAAACGTTAACATAACCTTTTTGGCGTAGGTAAGAGTAGTTTATCAATACTAGTATTACGTGTAGACCTACGTTTCAACCTGGCATGTTTAATCGTTGCGCTTCCAGGCCGACCAAATGATCCAAGCCACGCCTATTAAGCAGTTGCTGGAAAAGAAGTGGAGGCGCATGCGGAAGTGGTTCTGGGGGTTCGCTGTGGCTTACCTCATTCACATCATCATCTTTACCGCGTGCTACTTGCACAGGCCACTGAGGAGTGTGGAAACGGTCCTGAATAACGGGACACACAACGTCACATTGGTGCACGTGGAAAAACTATCCAGGCAGGTAATTATAAGTTTTGTATTTCTTTTCATGATTTACTTTACTAACGACATTAATCACCATCCAGTTTTTTTCACTATTCGAGATTAACGTAATACATGTTTGGAAAAAAGAAATAAAGTTATTAAGTTAGTTAACATAAAAGAAGTTAATAAAAAGGTTAATTGATATCCCACTCATTCCAGGAGTGGTACGAATCGCCTGGGCTTGAGTTCGGAAAGAGGATCACAGCGGGGATCATAGGAATTTTAATTACAGTTATGGTATTTGAGACATTCGAGGTAGGCAAATGCTGTTTCAAATTCTCTCTTTCTCCACCTCTCCCCCTTATCACTCACTCTCCCTCTCTCTCTCTTTCTATATATAGCAACATATAGCTTCATATATTTGTGCTAAATGTAGCTTCATCTAGCTATACGTACTAACACAAATACATACAAATGACATATGTATATGCTAATATATATCTATATCTACATATATCTATATCTGCATATATCTATCTATATCTATCTATCTATCTATCTATATATATATATATATATATATATATAGAGAGAGAGAGAGAGATACGTTAGTGGCGTTGCTCATACTAATTTGTTATTTGTCTCAGAGATGTTACTTCATGCTAAAGCATTATTCAATGAAGACAGGGACATACTTCTTTGGCTACGGAGTCGGCAACGGACCCTTCCAGTTTGTAAGGTACCTTAAAACCGATACTAGATTATCCTAACTCAACCCCTGCAACTAAAAGATTACTTATTACTGGTTCTTATGGAGGCTCTGCTGAAATATTTTACGTTGACTATTTGAAGGATATCTCATTCAAGTAACATTCACATCAAGGCTGTGAGCTGAAAGTCGTATTTCTTCTTCTTCTTCTGAAGTACCCTCGAACGACCCCTGTACAGGTATCACTGAGGGGGGGGGGGGGCGGTACACGGGTTATGGCAGGGCGGCTTTCTACTAAATATTGTACGAGGGTTTACTTCTGGCGTAGATAAAGGTACATAAAGAGAGGTTTATGCATTACTTTTTCTTCTATTACAGCATTGTGTACTATATTGCAGTATCGTATGCGACTTTACCTTGGTATGTGTATACCGAGCCCCCAGATTCGATTATGGCCATTGCACTTGTGTTCGGATGGACGTTGCTGCTGTACTTCGCGCGGGGCATCAAACATCTGGGGCCGTTCACGGTCATCATTTTTCGGGTACGTATAAGTAAGTTGTGACATTTGCCACTCTTCTTCAAAGTCACTTAATGAAATTAGTCGTTCATATCCTTGTTGTTGACAGTATAATGCATAAAGATGACAGGACAGAGACAAAGTGACTGCGAAGTTAGCCACAACTTTAATATATTATCGCAGTTACTTTTACATTGAAAAATAAATTGTGAATTCATAACACATTCATTCACAAAATAGTGTCAATCAAAACTCCCATCGCAGAAGAAAGCAAAGCAGGACACATATATCTAAAAGTGTTCTGTTTCTGCCATGTAGTTTTGTGTGGCTAACATAATTTTAAAGTCAAAGGAACAGAGCAAACTACCGCGAAGAATTAAAAGTTGTTTAGCATTGTCAGGAAGGTTGAAATTGACTCTGTATCCAAGAATCGGCTAAAAAAACTTGCTGAAGATGACTGAGCGCTGGTTGCTGATGTTCTTCTGGATGTTACTGCTGTACTGATCGCCGGAGCGCTTACTGTCATTATTCAACAGTTTACGTAGCCAAAAGGGTTACTCACCTTCGTTCTTAACGGAGTAAAGGCCAGAAGGGAGTGCTATATTCCGTCAGACATTAAGTGAAAATACATATTACTGTACAGTGTACAGTTGAATACCCATTATGTGCACAAGTCTTACAACGCATCGAATCCACGACAAACTCCACAAATACCTTTTAAACTATCCCAGAATGCATTGTGCTATGTTACAGACTTAATTTCGGGGCGATAAGTAAAAATCGTTTTGTTTCGTGTTCTTTGATATCTTACTACCAATTGGGTTTCTTGGCGTTCTTATCGCCCCTCATAAATTGGGGTTCGCCATGGGAGAAAATGATATTGATATCGCTTTACAAACATGCGTACAAGCTAAATTCTATAAAAAAACGTCGGCTAATTATGTATTTATTAAAGCATAATCCATGGGAAAATTACACTTCTTTTGGGCCTTTAGTACTCCTTTAAAGCCTGAATGGACTAAATCATACTGATACTTTACATTTACTTCTAGATTCTCGTGAGAGACATCGGTCGATTCTCTTTTGTCTATGTTGTCTGCCTCGTTGGATACACCGCAGGTGGGTGATCAGATGCATCGACTTATATCGATATAACTATGCACTTTGGCAATCTTGTGGAAGCTTATAACTTACATATACCTCTTCGTGTTTTTTAAATGTATTTCATCTTTATATATATATATCATATCTGTGATAGAGATACAATGTATGTCGTTATTTAAAGCATGTGGGCGTTGCTGTCTAAATGAAAGCTTGTAATATTGATATAATAAATGTTTGAAATACAGAAATGTTGTAGGTCTTTAAAGACAGTATTATTACCCACTATCATGCTGAGACAAATTTACGACTTGTTTTCCAGCATTTTACATCACGTTTGAGCAGGCCAAAGAGGACTTGGAACAGTTCCGTAACCTCGAGAACACCATGATGACCCTGTTCAAACTCACTCTCGGCTTGGAGGACGTCACACTCACAGTGCTAAACAAAGCCCCAAATCCCGCCCTGGCGATCTCCCTGTATGTCAGCTTTCTCATCTTCTCCTTCCTACTGATGGCGAACATGCTCATTGCGATGATGGGGGAGACACTGAGCATGTACTCGGACGGGTGGGAGAACCTATGGGAGTTACAGGTACAGCGTGCACATTGCTTATACTGTAACTAGACAAGGAAAAAAGGAGAAAACAAATAGTTGCCCGCTGTGGGTTCTTCTTGTGATTCGGTGTGATGCGCGCTATTTCAATTGCACCCAAAATTGATAAATATAGTCACAGGTAAATCTAGTAAACCTTTGCCAAAGGCAAACATAGACACTTTCAATCTACCCATTTTATGCCCCAACTCCATATCTATGTACCTAGGCCAATATAAAGTTATAGCATTTTAGAAAAGAGAGAAAGAATTGTGATAGACAGAAATGTGTAATGTGTTATGTAGTTTTAGCTTTCAGCAATAGATTATTCAGGAATAGAATTGTCACCCTTGCTATACATTGTGACATGTACCACTGTCGAGCAACAAAGATCATTCATTATTACAACTTTCAAAATTTCTGTTCTGTTTCCACATTATTTCCAAGCGTGCTTACCTGATCATTCAGTACGAGCAGTCTTACCACGCCTACCTGCGGATCGTCTTCTACTTTCTTCCGCGGCCGGAACTGAAATATTACTTACTACGGCTCTTAGGGGAGTACGTGGACATGCCTGGGATCGATCCCAAAACGCGATACCTCAGGTAAGGCTGATGCAGTAATTTGTAAGTTTGATTTTTAATGAAATTCCAGCATGATACAAGACAAAACTGATTCAATTGTTTGTAATTCATAGAAAATTGGACGCGGATAGAATCTAGTAGTACAATTGATTTGTTGAGCATCCAAACATTATACATGTATTATTGGAAAAGAAGAGTTCCGCCATCTTATATATATACCTTCAGAAGATGATGTTAACATCTACGCTTGACAAATAGTAACTATTTTTCATCGGTTATGCGAATAAAATTCTCATTTGTATATATATATATATATATATATATGTGTGTGTGTGTGTGTGTGTGTGTGTGTCTATAATATGCAAATGAGAATCTTATTTGCATAACCGATGAAAAATAGTTACTATTTGTCAAACAATAATATGCAATATATGTATATCTTGAGTTTTCGTGGAAAACCACTTAATATGCATACATGCAAATGCTACCTAAAACATAACTTTCCTGACAAAGGTAATGATTCCAATGAATCAATCAATCTATATTAATTACATGTATAGTTTTTTTTTTCTTCTTCTTGTGGATTAGGGTGAAGATTCGGGGCAAGCCTAAGAACGACAGTGAAGTCAAACTCTCGCGACGTTTCCCACCGACAATGAATTTCATAGAGGCAGCAAATCTGCAGACCGAGGACCGACCGAAAACTCGTAACCTACTGCAGCGGTTGTCTCGGAAGAAAAGAGTTAGTTCTTCATGGCCAGTCTAGCGTGTTTGTTTCTGTTCTAGTGTTTTAGTGATTACTTGTGTTTACACACCTACGCACTCATACTTTTCATTGACATTACATTGACAAAAATGAAAATTGAGTGTATAATGATGAGGATCATGAAAAGGCAACAGCAAAATATGTTAAATTTTTAATATATCCGTGGTGTTGCTATGTGTTATGGCATGCGTTGCTATGCAGAGTGGATACTTGTGTGGTTTATTGGAAATAATTTGTAGTTCATTAGAGACAGTGTGATATTTTGGAAACTACTAGTATGTCTATTTTAGTGGAAATTGTGGGGTGTATTAGAAACGGTTTAAAATGCGCGGTATATATTGTAAATAATGTGTGGTATATTGGGAAAAGGGGGTATATTGTACATAATGTGTGGTATGTTACAAACAATATGCAGTTTATTAGAAACTACTTTGTAAATTATGTGTTCTGTGTTCTGCATTGGCAACGATGTGTCGAATATTATAAATAACGTGTATTATATTAGAAATAATGTGTGGTTTATTGGAAATAATATGAGGTTTATGGGAAACAATGTGTGGTGTATTTTACACAATCTGTGGTATTTTGTAAACAATGTGTGATATATTGGGCAATGTGGGCCATATTTGAAAAATGGTGTTGTTTATTGAAAACAATGTGTGGTACTCGTATAATGGAATCGATGTGTGGTATGTATATTGGAAACAATGTGTGGAATATATTGTAAAATGTGTGATATATATTGGAAAATGTGATATATATATATATATTGGAAACTGTGTAATATACAAGTATATTGGGAAAATGTGTGATATCTTTGAAAATGTGTGATATCTTTGAAAATGTGTGATATCTTTGAAAATGTGTGATATCTTTGAAAACATGTTATATCTATATCTAGGAAAATGTGTGATATCTTCGAAATATGTTAGAAATATATAGAAACATTGGAAAATGGTGTGGTTTATGGAAATAATGTGTGGTTTATTGCAAACTTTATGGTATATTGGAAACTATGTGTGGTATATTTTATTGTAGCAACATGTGATATATTGGAAACATTGTGTGGTTTATTGGCAATGTGGGTTTCATTTGAAAATTTTTGGGGTATATTGGAAACGATATGTGCTCCTTGGAAATTGTGGCGTTATTGGAAACTCTTCTAGCAGCCCTTCTCACCATTACGTCACTGCTGACGTCAGCATCATCGTCAGTTGCCATGGACACCGAAAACGTTCGATCTGTCAGTTTTGTTCCAATAAACGTCCCCAATATTAGTCTAGTCTACTAGTCTCATGTACGCATGTGTACTGAACGTTGGGTAAAGAGAGGGAAACACTATGGATAGAGAAGCGAGAAAAGGCAGTGTTGTTTACACTCACACTCACAGCATATCTACATCCGCGTGCTGAAAACATCCGCGTGTCAATTCGACTAAAGGTGCTGCTCTGCTGCTGAACAAAAGTAGGATGTTTTTTACTCTCTAGCCAAGGAGGTTGAAACCGCTCATTGCCTTTAACGTGTAACGTTTAGAAAGTATATCTTATACCATATCTTCAACGGATTGTTAGGTGCATACGATTTTTTAAAAGTATATGTTAGACCGAACTGCACAACAGGTTGCAACAATCAGTTTTCATATCTTACGGGTAGACTGATAGCTAAGCACGTTTTCTGTAAAAACACCATCTTGTGTATACCATGATCATGAATTATTTGATGTTGGGGTTTCTCGCTGTACTGGTGGCACCGAGCACAGGAGAACCGTTTCCAGAAATATGTTTTGTCAGAAATACCTTTGGCGGCAAAATTCACTGCCCAAAGTCGAACGCAACAAGTTTCCCTACCTGGGCACCTTTTGCTGTGAATGACGTCCATCTTCAACAGAACCGCATTCGCAGCGTTCATAACTTATTCGCCCTCCCTTATGTCACCATGCTTAACCTCAGTCGCAACCTTATCTCAGCATTTCCATGGGAATCTCTGAAACACACGCCGCATCTTGGCAGACTGGACTTGTCACACAACCTAATATCTGCAATCAGGCTGGACCTGGCCATCGGCGGGCCAAAATCTCTCTGGATGGTCAACATTGCCTACAATAAACTGACCACATTCTCACAAGCAAACCTGGCCATGGGGGTCGGGTCTAAGACTGTACGTGGATGGAAAGGGATTTACTACATGGAAGGCAACCTTCTTCACTGCGACTGTCGCTTGTACTGGCTGGCAGAGATCGCACGAGAGTTTGAAGACTGTTTCCCGACTCGGTGTGTTACGGGTCCGCTTCATAACAGCTTTAGAAGAAACGGTATTTATACATGTCGAAGCCCTGAGAACATGAAAGACCTCCCCATACACACGGCAATCGTATCTGCCTGTTCTACCGACCAGAACCAGACGACCAGCAGTGCCGGTCCCAAAAGTACCGACGACGGTTTTGATGCTACTTCTCCGCTTTTTCCAAGCGAATCAGAACAGCCCAGTCCTGTATCTGTGACCTCACAGACAATTGCAGTGGCAAACATCACCAACTCAAGTGCTCAGCAAATCTCTCATGCACCCAGAGCGGTGAGCATCAACATGCAAGCAGCCGCGTTGGTAACGTTAGCAATGGGGAGCATTTTTTTGGCCATTTTACTACTCTGGCGCCGACGGCGAATTTTTCAGTCAGAGTAAAATCTTTGTAATATCCAAACAGATCTGTCGGTGGCTGCATAAGACAGTATCAAATTGTCCGGGCAGTATCCATTGCCCCCCCCCCTTCGGTGGCTAATGGACACTCCTCTGGCCAATGGATACTGCCTTGCCACCGTATGATCTGCTTGGAGAGTAAAATCTTTGATCATCAACAATCTCATGCGTGGGCTAGTCAGACACTCCGCCAGAAACAAAATTGAAATGTGGGCTGACTTTCAAATTCATGACACCGCTAGCATGCGTTTCAATGCATGAATTTTACTATCAGACATATCTACTGCATTCAGACGTGATCTCAGTGCTGTACAGTGGTTTGAAACAGCTGCATTGTGAAAAATATTGTGATGTGAAAAAGTTGTACACTCTTCAAGACACTCTTGAGGCCCACTTTCCTGTAGTTCTGTAATGTACCGGTAGAAGTCGCTTTTGCTTTGCAATCCACGATGTTAAACTTATAAGTTACAGCTTTAGGCTACACCCCGTATTTCAGGGACTAGAGAATACAAAAAATTGCTGTGAAAAGACTTATCATTTAAGATCGACTCAACCTTGACAAACTGCCCATACGATGGGGAAGTGATATTGTTTGTTGTAGAGAAGAGAAAAACAGAATATCTGATATCATTAAATGCAATAGGAAACACATTTTCTGTACTATACATGTTATGTATTACATTGTATCTCTATTGTTTGTATTGATTCATTTACTGTTTAAGTGTTATTTCAATAGTCATTGTTGATTTTTTTAGAGAATAATTAAATGATTGGATGTCAATTCGTCAATGTGTAAATACATGTGGCCGACATGTAACTTTAAAGACCAGACAGGTCTACACTTCATGTGATGTCACAAGTGTCCTCGACGCTGATTGGTCAAACGGGAACCATAAATCTCTTCGCGTGCAAACAGTCCTGAAACTAGGCCAGCTGACGTTTTATGGTTTCCGGCGACAAATAAAAGCGTTTGTGGCTTGTCCTAAACCTTAAATTTTACCGTCTCTTAAACTGTCTCGTGGTGTGAACTAGAGGTCATGGTGACCTTGAAACGCGAATGTACCGTATTTCTGGCCTGATGCCCGCAGAAAGTCGGGTTCAGTGGTTAGCTGGTCTACTGTATGGTTCCATGACTGACAGGGCTTTCCCCATAGGGACAATGCATAGCCAAACCTTTGAAATGGTACACGTTGAAAAAAAAAAAGCTGTTGAAATGCACGTGTTTTTCTTATTGTCAAACGTAAAATAAGAATGATGATCAAACTCTTTAATATATACGCTGAGACTACCCAGAACCATGGCTGGGCCTAACCCTAACCCATCCAGGCATAGAACTACATGTAAATAGGCACGGTTCTGGGTACGATAGAGACTATTCAGAACCGTGCCTGATCCTAACCCTAACCCATTCAGGCATAGAACTAGATAGGTACGGTTCTGGATAGTAGAGACTATCCAGAACCGTGTCTGATCCTAACCCTAACCCATTCAGGCATAGAACTAGATAGGCAGCGTTTTGGGTACAATAGAGACAATCCAGATCAGTGCCTGGTCCTAGCCCTGTGCCATTCATTCAGACATATATATATATAGAACTAGACAGGCAGGGTTCTGGATAAAATATGCCCCAATATCAAGTACAAATCACGTACGGTTCGTAAAAAACAACAGATGTTTCCCCTGTTTCGCCAAAAGGCACGGCCAAGGGTACGTTCCAGGGTTCCGGAATTCCCTATACAAATACAGAGCAGTTCTGAACCTGACCTGGACGTCCCTGAGGTCACCCGGGTCAATGACCTGCAGTAGTCCTTTTCCGGTCAGTGACCTCTAGCCATCCCTTGTTGCTAAGCGACTGTCTAGGTTTGAATACATGAATTAAAGCAGTTTGTTCTTAAGGTGTAAATGTCCACTATAGTGTCCGGTTTGGTCAACAATTATTGTTGACTCTCGCCTGTACTGTTTGACCTGCAAATATGTACCACGTAGAAAGCTTCTACAGGTGTGAGAGGGTCTGCATGGGGGGTCTTGTAAATTTAGGAAGAACAATGGCCAGCAACGCGTAATGCTCCTGTCTTTAAATCTGTTAAAACTAGTTTTAGTCTATTGTCTAGATATTAACGTTAATGAATCCAATGTAATTTCAGGTCGGCAAAACAAAAAAAAAAAAAAGAATATTCTGGATGACGAAATCTGTCTGAAATTGACATTGTCATTACTTCAATGTACCACATTTTCATTGTCATTTTATACTTTGAAATAGCCCAAAAATAAGGTACGTGAGGAGGCCCTTTACTTTTTGGGTCCAACTTTTAATTAACATGGAACCTACCACATCTAGAAAATGACCAAAAATTGACTTTAAAAATCCAATTTTGCTGGCCTTAAATCTCTTTGTATGTTAACTTTATGTTTGTTACATAGAATGAAATGAAATACTAAATTTTTTTTTTAAGTTTAAAAAGATATCTTCGTATCTTAACTAACCCTACACACGTGTCTGTGCACAAGACGAGTTTAACACACACACAGCTCCAAGGTTAGTTTATAGCGAAGTGTCTTAGTTTCCAGGTCAGTCGTAAGTCACCCAACCAAGGACACATGGGGGGGGGGGGGGCAAAGTACAAGGTCGGCTCTTTTTCATGACCCTACCTGCCATAGTTACATCATTGTACTCAGTAACGGTACAATGCTAGGCTCTACCAGACTACCTACGCTGGCTATATATAGGAGAATATTTGCCAGGGGAGCTTGGCCGCCTTGTAGGTTTGACTGCGGCCGCGCAGTTAACAAAGAAAGTACTAGTACCTCCCCGCTACCGGACTCCCTTGACCAATTTTACTCTCCTGTTTGCCGAATTCTACTATCCGTATTCGCATAGAAAGGCCTGGTGGAGGCTAGTACAATACCGCGAACATTATTTAGGCACAGGTCTAAAACACTAGAACAGTAACTTGAATAGACGAACGCCCAAGTGTATAACTTTATCCTTTTTTACCTTTACTAAAATTGTTTCTATTCCGTCATTCATTCAATTTCGTTTAACCAATCTCTCATTCATTCATTTCATCATTCATTTCAGTTTCGTCCCCCTCTCCCTCGTTTCATCATCCTTTCGCGTCCTTCGATCTGTCGTTCTCATGATGTATTGAGTTTAAATACGTCCCAAGGCCCCCAAGCCTCAGAATAGTCACGCGTCGCAGCCATCAAGGCCAACAAGGCCCCGTAGGGCAATGTCTGGAGTTCGAGGTTACCAACGGTCAATGCACTGCAGTGACCTCCGGAAATTCCCGCCATTTTTCACACACAATTAGAGAAGTGTATTTTCTGTGGCAGCTTTTCTTGTGTCAGGAGAGAAAACTTTAGGTTCGATCGGTGCTCCTAGCGGATGCTTTCAGTACTGCAGCTGTTTGTCCCTTTCTTTCTTTCTTTTAAAACTCATATATTCGTAGCATTAAACATGATATTAGTCTTCAGCCATATAAGATGACTGTTGCGTCTTTTGTGTTACGGGAATTTAGAGGGTCTCTTTGAGTGTTTCCTTATTTTTCTTGTCTTATGTCATTGAAATTATAAAAAAAGAGGTATTATAAAAACATTTACTGTACTACGCTACCCTGTAAATTCCTAGGTCTTCACACTATTGGCACAGACGGTATCAAACGCGCAACGAACTCAAGTTACCTTCCAATGTAATTAGTTTCCCATCCTCCACTCACCAGATATCCACAGCTACGCTCATACTGTCACGTCTGTCACATCAGTCGAAAACAACATGTGGTTTTAACAAAACCATGAAAAAATTCATTTGACGTTTCATTTATTATCCATCTACGTGCATTCTTCCTCTAACTTGCACGTAGCACTACAGATAATACAGATTTGACCCCCCCCCCACACACACCGTTTTAAATTGATCGTCACTTAGACACACAGTGTCCGTATGAACATAGAGGTTACCTCCATGGTATGAACTACAGAAAAAAACATATCGGTTTCTTTTCACCCATTCTAACCATATTATACGCCCATGCACCAAAATATCCCAAACAAATGTCTTAACAAGTAACAACAAAAACGACACGAATGAAATGTCCTGCGCCAGACGCACTACATGCCGTCCCACACGTAATTTTGCACAGGTCGCTGAGATTTAACAATACGCCTTGGCCCTACCTATTAATGTGTGTAAAAGTGTCGGAGTCAACAAGAGGTGAAACCAGACACCTTGCAGAAAAACAACCTGAACAGGTAACCATTGTGACGTCACTGGGACAGGTGTGTGCCACGTCCCAAACACGCTTTGGACCATTCTATTGTAGGAAAACTTTCAGGGGTTTTAAAGTCCAGGACATGTGTAGTTCTATTACTCTTCAAGCAGAATTTTAGGTGTTTATGTCAAGCTTTCTTTCTTTATACTGTTGTTGTTTTGTTTCTGTGGTCTATTGGATACTACCTTGCCAATTTCATACTGTTAATATCTGCTTTAAGAGACTAACGCTAGCTTAGCCTCTACCGGGTTTCAGAAGTGGCCGAAAATAGTAGAAATTGGCCAAATAGACAGATAATATGCCATAAGCAAGAGGGGAGTTGGTCCGCTCAAGTGGTAGAGTTTGGCGAACTGCCAGCCTTAAAGCCTGTTAGAGGCCAGAACTACATGTAGTGGCCCTGTCAACAGTCTGGCATCCAGGCTAGAGCAAATACTAATCTCCTTGCAGATCCTAGGGTGGCCAGGTAGTATCCATTGACCAGAGTGGCGTATTGGACCCTCTCTGACCAATGGACACTGCCTGGCCAGTTTGATACCGTCTTTTGCCACCCTAGGATCTGCTTGGAGATTACATGATCCAGGCTAGAGCAGGGGTGACTGATCTCGTAGCAGATCCCTCTCGGTGGCAAAAAAAAGTGTATCAAATTGGCCAGGCAGTATCCATTAGCCACAGAAGGTCACCGGCCACCGACGGGTGGGGGTAGCGACAAAAAAAAGGCCATATATAAAAAGCTAACGATCATTCCCCCACAACATCTGCTTGGAGAGTAGGGTGACTGCTCTGCCCAAACGCAGCTGTTGTTTGCCGGGGGGAGGGAGGGAGGGGGTGTGATATCCGTCCTGCCCAGTCAGCGGGGTGTCTAGCCTCACGCCAGGTCTAGACGGGTGACCTTCCGTGACCCACTGACCTTGGCCCAGTAATGACGTCAAGGTCAAAAGTACGAGGACGTTTCCGGTGGAAATATGAGAACAAACAGCCATGATTTGTTGTTTTGAAATATTGCAGATGATGCAATATTTACTGAAATATCAAAACAACTGATATGAAAATACGAGATTGCTAAAACGTATAAATACATGTATATCCAATGCAAGATACGATAAATTTAGCCAGGGACATATTTTAAGATAGGAGATATTGGTTATAATTTTCGGATCTGCGCTTTTTATGATATTACGATTGAAATATTAATATGAAAACAAACCCAATTGCAATTCCTAAAATCTATTCCAAGCATAGTCATCACTGTTACACAGTAGTGAAGTAACCGTGACAGAAAGAACTGAAGAGAATCATAAGTCAAACATTCGTCTCTTCTTTCCCAGAAAAACAAGTAAAAATTTTTGACACAAAGTGTTGACGTTCACCAGACACACAGTAGATCACTGTTGGGATCAAAGTCACGTGCAGTCTCGCGTGACTTGAGAGTTGTTTACATGTTCGAGAGGAACCCTGGTGGGCGGGAACGTGCCTTACCGCACGTAACCATACGCCGAGCCCGATAGCCAAACCACCGTAGGCTCCCCGGTATCTCTGCGGTGCTGGGAGTGCCGCCTGCCCGCCCAGGCCGGCTGGAAAAAATATAGTCTCTACCAGGTTTCTGAAGCGGCTGGAAAGAGTAGAAATTGGCCTAGTAAACAGATAACATGTACGTTATCTTTATATTTGTCTAATAGTAGCAACTGGCCTTCTAAACAGATAACATGCATGTTAATTATCTGTCTATAAGGCCGATTTCTACTCCTTCCAGCCGCTTCCGAAGCCATACTACTACTACTACTGGTACTGAGACTAGGATGTGTGTGAGAAAGGCTCAGTAGGACTGGGGCCAGTAAAACACTCAGGCTAGCATGTGGGGTATAGCAATGGAGCAATAAATTTTATACCTGCGTATTATCTATACGGCTCTCATGTGTAGCCTCTAGCGCTGGTCGAGGCTATAGATTCTGTGTGCGTCCCTGATTTCCTTTAAGTGGAGAGAGAAAGAGGGAGAGAAAGAGAGATGAAGGGAGAGATGGATGGAGAGAGATAGAGATGGAGAGGGTGAGAGTTTGGGTGCATGAGAGAGAGAGAGAGAGAGAGAGAGACTGAATGATCACCATGTCAGATCAATACATTCCTCTGTCATACACACACACACTCACACACACATATGCACATGTAGAGAGAGAGAGGGAGAGAGAGAGAGGGAGAGAGAGAGAGGGAGAGAGAGAATGATAAACAAGTTAAAATCAATACTATGCTCCCCCTGGGCTATCGCGCCTGACCACATTACAAGTATATCCCGATAACTGAATAACAACCCATCTAAAAGCCTCCTGAACCCACTAATCACATCTCCCGAACTGGGAATATATCGATCGTCTTTCTAGGTCACGTTCGTGTTATTCTGATGCCGGGGCCCCAGCCTAATGATGAAGTGTTTTTAGATATGTATGTTATGCTTCAAACTGTACGATTCTACCGCATGATATAGTAGCTTTATTAAAATGGCAATGTCATATGACGTGACAAGTCACACGTCGTCTTTTCTTGCTA